TTTTTATATTCTGATATAAATTCAACAGAATGGTACAAAGGGATATAAAGTGATATATATCAATTAAAATTTGACTTGATGGCAAGCTTTTCCATATTTGTGCTAAAATAACACAAGTTAGATGTTGAACTTTTAAATTTCGATATGTAATTTTTTATAATATTAAAGTGAACTGTAGTGTGAAAATAAATGGAAATCGATAAAGCAATTAATCTTTTGATGACCTTGAACTTGGTCAATTTATTAATGTGACATACTATTACTTTCTAACTAACTTTTATTATAATGTTACTACATGAAAATCGGGCTGACGATGAATTTTAGATGATAGATACACGGAGCATGGGAGATGCAGGGTATTATCATAAATGATTAAAATGTACCACTCCAGGAACATAGCTCTGCAGCCCCAGTGCTTGGGTACATTATGGCGCAAGGTCAAGAAGCAGACACCTGTGGCTGTAACGGGTTGAAAAACCAGCACTCCTGAAAAATAACTTTCTCAGCAAGTGAACTAGAAAAGGCAAAAGACTTGATTACAGAGACCTGAACATATGTGCACATCCCATTCTTGGTTGCAGCTTGAGTGGAGAAGAGTAAAAAATAATAAAATAAATTTGAAAAGTATTTCCTACAAGCTCCTAACCACGTATTCATAAATGCATGTTTGAACATCAAACCAAAACCCTTCTGTGAAAACATGCACTTTAAATTAGATTTGAAAGACTTCCCAAATATGAAGTCCCATGGCATAAAACCCCCCAATAAAACATTTTAAGATGAGAAGGGCAAACAAACAAAAACTTCTTCTATTAAAAGTAATCAACTTTACCATGTATCTCCCTACAAACATTGCGCTGTCAATCCCCCTTCTCTTTATCACAGCCAAACTTATCCAAATTATTATCTACACTTGGTACATTCCTCTTTATCTATACTTACTATCTACACTTGGTACACTCCCTTCTCCTCTTTTTTTTCTCTCTCTTCCACCTACCCCAGTCTGGCTCAGTCACCCACACTGTCACTGAATCAGCTCTCACTAAGTGACCAATGACTTTCATTTTGCTCAATCGCAGGGACCTTTGCAGACCTCATCTCATTTACCTCTGCAGCATCGTTTGCCATGGCTCATCACCCCTTTCTTTGTATTGCATATCTTTCCCCGACTCCTTCAATGAGCCTATTCTTTTGGTTTTTGTCCATGTATCCATCTATTTTATGGGCTCACCCTGTTCCAAATGGTCATGAAGTATTAGCATTCTTTAAAAATTCTAGCTGCCCTCTCTTCTTAGTCTATGTTGTCACCCATGGGTATTTCATTCACTGCCATGGTTTCATTGAGTATTACTTACAATTCCAAGGCACCAAATTATTTATGGACCGAATATACTCTGGTCAAGACTGCTGTTCCAGGCCACAGGTCTGAATATTCAGCTGCCTGTTTGACTTCTCTGCTCATGTAAATCAAAGCGATCTCACACTCAAACATGTCCCAACTGAAGTCAGGGACTCGTCCCTACAACTGCCCCCCAAGTTCTGGCCCCCTTCTCCCAATCTCAGTGAATCATGTCACAGTACAAATCCAGTTTGCCCCAGGCAGAAACAGAGGGGGACTCAGGGAACTTCCTCCTTTCTCAGTCCATCACACCCGATTCAAGTTTTCATATTACAGGTAGGGCAAAAGGAGGTCTACAGTTGTGAGTGTGCGAAACAGAGTTTATTTTTGTGTTATTACTTATTTATTAACGTATCATTGTCCATAGGAACAACTATTAACCTACCTCTGCCTCATCCTGTGCTTGTATTCTTAATACTTCTAGTAGTAATTTACATCTCTTCACATTTACTGCCAGGCTTCTATAATAAATTACCATTAATTTGGATAGCATATCCTAGTCAACCTGACACCTAAAACCAGTCTTCAAAACCCTGACTCAGTTCAGAAATTTCACTTTCAGGAATCCATTAGGGTGAAGATGTATGTGTAAGAACACCCATTCTGGTGGGAGCGCTCCAACACCATTGTGAAGAGGTTTGATGGGGCCTGCCCAGAGGACAGACAAATATCCCTGCGAACTCCCTACGCCAAAGCTCTGGACATAGCCAGAAGGGCAGTAAGTAGTGGTAATGCTAGCTCTTGTATTCTCACCCTGCTTCCAAGACTTCCACAATTCCTTCAGATCAAAGTCAGCCTCTTTCTAAGAGATCAAGTGTATTTTCTAGTTACCTTTCTAATCCTTTGGGGCTCTTGATTCTGGTAAACCTCGTTTTTGGCCAAGTCAGGTGAGGATTATCACCAGGAAGAAATGAAAGCTATGGTCCCATACACAAAGACAGGGCAATAAATCTGGTCCCCTAGAGCTCCCACTGATGCATTAACCTGGCTTCTAATGACAACCACAACCACAACAACAACAAAGTAAATCGAGGCCTTTAAATTAAGTCAAATTAAGAGTTTGATTGCACAGAAGTGAGGATAACATGTTCCATGATCTTTATCGCATGAAGAATTTAATTCTTTTTATCCTGGATTAGCAGGAAGACTGGACTGCAGAGAAGACTAGCCTATGTTGAAGTTTTAGACACAAGCTTCATGAGAAACTCTTCATAAAGTTCAAGAATCACACTGGGTATCAAAACTTTCAGAAGGAAAATTTTATAGGCAACCTATAAAACCTCTTGTCAAATGAAGACCCTGTCCGACACCTAGGGTGAGCATCCTACCATGGGTAATGTCAAATTTGCAGACCTCAGAAGGAAACACTTGCCATGGTCTCCTTCAAGTTGAAGAGTTAATAATCTGACAGAGATGCCTCAGTCTCAAACTTTATTGCAGTTATGAAATAAAAATTTTTAAATGGCTTACCATGCCTTATAAAAATGCATTCCCTTATGTTTGCTCATAACTCAAATGTAATATTTTAGACTCAAATGCAAATCAAGGCCTGTTAATATGTATGGTCTGATGTAATCTACTGAAAATTTTGGACATACCATTGCACATATTAATTTCATTCATAAGCTAAAATTCAAATCAGAAACTCTTGAAGTCACTTTTTAAACTCTAATTGAAAATTAGTCTGCAATGTAATAAATCTAAAAATGTAACAAATCAGAAACAAGACAGTAATTAAAAAGCAAAGGTCATGTAAACATATCCATCTCAACTTTACACATTTAAAATATTCTATAGGTTAGATATTATATCGATAAACAATATAACAATATTTGGCTCTGTCCAATTTTCTGAAGGGCATAATAAACTAGACAGAGTAAATATAAATATTATATGCACATATAAATGCCCCTATAGATTTATAATATAAATTATATAAACTTATACGTTTCCAGAAGCCTACTGCCTCCGAGAAGTCCGACACAAGGGTAATAAAAGGGAGAAAACTGAAGGATTTTGGACTCGGATATACTGTGAGAGCAAAAAAGAAAAGAGCCCTTTAACTGAGTATTTGATTATTGCAGGCCATGCTCATAAGCAAAATATTTTCCGTCAATTACACCTAATTATTTAAGTGTTTACATTTACTAATGAAATGAAACAACACAAAACAAACAACCGTAAGGGGATGTTTTTCAGCAAGAGGACAATCATCAGTTAACACATGCCGAAAGATTCCAAAAATTGTATGAAGCTGGTCTGTTGAAAGAGAAAGGCGGATTTTACCCCAATCGATGCAGAAGAGTAAAACTGCCCCTAGCCGAGGCATGTTTCTCTGCTGTGCCATTCAGTGCTAATGATCCCCACACACTGCACGGGCACATCAGTTATGATCCTCTTAATCACGGTCGTTAAGCTGAGTGTTCATTACGACCAGGATCCCGGTGACAGCAGATTCAATCACCGGGTGCACTGGCCAAGCCGACACGGTCCCACCCAAGTTCCTGTGGACGGCGATGTGCCACATTAAGCCTCTGATCTGTCCCACATCCCGCTCCATTCCAAAAGCCGTAGACGGGAAAGGTTGACTTTATGTTCTGTGCAATGTGCTTAGGTTCTCTGAAGTAATTTTTGGAGTACTAGATATTTTTATGCTGTGTAGCTTATCAAGTATTGTTTAGGACCAAAATGCACATTAAAAAAAAAAGGCTGGTCCGCTGATGTCATTCACTTACAATAAGGCAGCTGAGGTGAGGCTCTGTTCACCTCACCATCTTAACAGTCTCTTCTGGAATTTCACAAACAGGGGGAAACATCAATTGTCCCATTAAAGTCAGTTGTCTAGAATAAACATGGAAACTAATTCCAATTAAGATAAAAGGGTTAGACTATCATTTCTGCTTTGGTTAATACGGACGTATGTAAATGTCTTGACAACCGAAAAGAATATTTTCAGTATATTGAATCCTTAATTGTCCAACTCTTTTAGATGTACCAAAGTAGATTAAGTTAATAGTGACTAGTATATTCCCCTTATTAAGTTTCATTTCTATTTTAAGTATTGAAATCAGCACAAGAAGAATTTGTAAATACAAAGTAGATACCCACACTTAAGAAGTTTGACCATTTAACTCAGAGGAAGAATCAAACAACTTAACTTGGGCATTTCATAAACAGATTAAAGAAATATGAGTAAGTTGTGTAATATATACATTATTTTATTATTGCCTTACATACTTTCAAGAAAAATAATACACGTTATTTTTCATTTTGGTTTTCATACTTTCAGTAGAAAATAGTATTATTTGCTCTCAACTTGCTGACATTATGATCTTTGTATAGTGTTCTTCATATGAATAACTTTAAAAATAGAGCATAATGTTTTTAAATAGTTGATATATTAACCGATTTCATGTGAATGCAATTAGAGATAGACTAATCTCTTACCAACCTAGGTGAGCAGCACCATCTTTACATAACATAGCATTTTGTAACCACGAAGGTATTCATTGTAGTAAGAATATTTATACTTGCCGTCATCGGTGTCTAATTCCAGCCTTTGAAAAGGGACACTGTTTTTGTGACTGTTGCACTAACTTACCTTGCCAGAGACCCACTTCTTAGGATTTTCATCTCTGAAATGCTGACATCCATAAGAACTGGAGCCGCACTTGCTCCATAAATGCACAGACGGGATGTACTTTTCATTCTTGTGGTAGGAGGCAAAAGGCAAAAACCTGGAAGGCATTAAGGTGATATTCTGAATTTGATTTCTGAAGACATTTGATTAAAAAAAAACACTTTAGAGAAGTGGTCAAGTATCATGGAAATAATGCGTGGCTTGGGGTTGGAGGACCTGAGTTGCTGTCAGCCTTTGTCACTGTCACTAACTTCTGTGGACCCTCATTTCTTTTTTATTTATTTATTTATTTATTTATTTATTTATAAAATTTTATTTAGTTATTTTTCAAGTACAGTTTTTTGTCTATTTTTCCCATCCCAGCCTCCCCCGCCCCTTGCTCCCCACCTCCCTCCCATTTCCACCCCCCTTAGTTTTCGTCCCTGTGTCCTTCCTATTTGTTCCTCCAAATCCCTCCCCCCTTTTCCCCTTAACTTCCCTTTCTTCTCCCCTCTGTGGACCCTCATTTCTTATTCTGTGAGTGGAGATACTAAAACTCGTCAAGGATTCTTTGAGTCCCAACTCTTTGGTGGATACAGAAAAAGTTCAATAATTAATTTATTAATGAGTGATACCAAATAATTCCAAATTCATCATGCAAGCACACATGTTCTTGATTTTAAAATCCCAAATGGAAAAAAAATAAAAATAAACTATTAAAAAATAATAAAATGGTATCTGAAGAAGAAAAGGATGGCCAGGCCAGATGATTCCCATTGAAATGGGTTGTTTTCAGATCTTATCGTACCCCAGGAGTGCAGACATGTTGGGGATTGGCTACGCACAGTGGGACCTGCACTGACTCCTCAGCTTTGCCCTGGTGGCTGTGCTCCCTCAGGCAGGATGCTTGATCTCTTTGAGACTTCACTTTCACACAGAGCCATGGTAAAGAGTGAGCAGCTTCATATACGACATTGAGATTAACGTATGTGAGGATAGAGAGGGCGGGGCCCAGTAAGCAACGGGGATGCTGAGAGTGGGTATAAAAGGAGAAGTAGCTTGTTGAGGTGGCTCTCATGGTTGTCATCATCAAGCTCTTGAGTATTGCTGTGATCGACATGAAAGCTACACCTGTCAAAGAGCCATGCGAGCTCTCACAGAATACCTAACACTGCCATCTGCTTTGGGTGTGACCTGGCCAATGGTTTCGGTCTCTCAGCAAAACCCTCGGCGCTGTCCTTGTTGCCCAGCAGGTCCATTTACCTCTGAACTGGACCAGGGCAGCAGTCTCTGGACTGCTCTCCATCCCCAGTGACCCCCGACCCTTCACCGTGGACATAGCTACTAAGGGGGCACTTCCAAGCGATCTGTTCTTTCCCAGGCATTAAAGCACCGTGATGCTTTCACACTGTCTCCACATGGTCAAGTGCAAATCCATCCTGGTGCACATGGCCCTCCATTCTCTCCACCTTCCATCTCATTGCTGCCACATAGATTGTGGTGCCAAACCTATGAGCTAAGCTTCTCAGGATGCCTCAGACACTGAACTGCAAGCCGTGCACTTAGCTGTGCACTTTTGTAGCAGACATGACTTTGTCCAGACCACCTCCTCTCTGCCTCTCTCCTTGTTCTGCCCAGCACACTTCTGTTCAGTTTTCAAGTCTCTTTGGACACCCGCCTTTTGAACCAAAATTAAAACAGCACAATCCAGGATATATAAATGCCACACCAATGTAAGGATGGCACAAAATGGCTGTTTTTCTCAACATAAAATCCACATGCCTTACAAATGGACTAAAAGTCAATTGGCAAACCTTTAGTTAGCCTATATTGGGTATCGCATTAGAAAGTGTGCTTACGAAATGACCAAATCTAAATAAAAAAAACCAAAAGTGTCTTTTTACAATGTGTCAGGTTGCATGCAATAAAAGCACATATAATATTCTCAGGCATATCGCTAGAAGTATTCCAAATTGTCCATTTTGTCGATATTATAAACTTTAAACTTCTTTAGACTCAGAGGTCTATAATAATGAAATTCCAGTGTTCTGTGGTTATGTATTAAATACACACACACACACACACATGTATTTTCAAGCAAAGAGTGGACAAAAAGGGAGCACAATCTTGTAGAGTCTTCACTGCACAGCCAAAGGAATAAAGGGTGCCTTTGTAGGCAAATTCTAGAACTTCTTAATTATACACAAGCTTATTATCTGTATCTCCAGTGTTGTAAAGCACCAGAACTTCATTAGAAAAATTAAGCCGGAAAAGTGAAGGCAGCACTTTGTAAATTTCCAGTGGAAATGAGCTGGGAAAGGCGGAGGAAGAGCAGATCAAAAGAGGGTAATCACGCTGAACGTGCCCTGGAGCACCACACGCATAATATGATTTTCGAAGCCAGTACCTCTCCCATCACTGCTTGTTTGGAGCAGTCCGTGTTAATGGGGTTAGCTAATCTAGTATTTTAACTTAAAAAGGCTCCACTGATTAATAAATGTTGCACACTGTGCTAGTAATTAAAGTAAATGGAAGAGTTACAAATAAAAGTTGAATTGTTAAGAAAACACTCTCTGAAAATACATAATAATCCCTATTTATCATAATACAGTAAGAGTTCAGAACATATGCAAATTGCAGAGGCCTGAAGTGTTGGTAAAATCACCAAAGTCAAAAAAGTTTTGAGATGGGTCAAATTTCCCCGTCACTATTCTGTGGTGACAGGCAGAACCAGATCTCAGGTCTGTATGCCACATTCTTTCTTTCTTTTAATATTTTATTTATTTATCTTTAGAGGGGAAGGGAAGGAGAGAGGGAGAGAAACATCAGTGTGTGGTTACCTCTCATGGGTCCCCTGTTGGGAACTGGCCTGCCACCCAGGCATGTACCCTGACTGGGAATCGAACTGTATGCCACATTCTTTCAAATGCCCTTTAAAAAAACCTGTTATTGAGGATCTTGTTTCTTAACTTTTCCTGTGGTCCTGTTCATGAAATGATACTTAATTAGAAAAATATTTAGAAGGCTTAAAAATGAGTCGTCTACTATTTACCAAGGCTTCTGAGTTAGACGGCAAATTCGAGGAAAGTGAAGGCAGACAGGTAAGATTCATTGCTACTGAATGTTTCTCATCCACACTATGAAATGAGGAGCTGAAAAAATCTGAGTTATGCCCTGGCTGGTGTGGCTCAGTGGATTGAGTGCTGGCCTGAGAACCAAAAGGCCGCTGGTTTGATTCCCAGTCAGGGCACATGACTGGATTGCGGGCCAGGTGTCCAGTAGGGGGTGTGCGAGAGGCAATCACAGGCTGATGTTTCTTCTTTCTCTCTCCCTCTCTCTCTATAAGTAAAATAAATAAATAAAATCATTTTAAAAATTGAGTTTTTATTACTGCTTTGCTACTGAACATTTATAGGACATCTCTCATTTCACCTGCTCCCAATTATTTGGGGCAGAATACATGTCTCAATAATGCCACTTTGGCAAAGCTACTTGAAAACAATGGGTGTAAGGAAAGGGATCTAAGGGGAAGAGTTGTCAAGGAACAAGTATGAAGGACCCATGGACAGGAACAACAGGTGGGAAGACTGAATGTGGAAGGTGGGGGTGGGTAGGGAGGGGGAGAATAATGGGGGAAATGTGGACAACTGTGATTGAACAACAATGAAAAAAACGAAAAGGATCTGATGTCTTTTTTCTCCCTGAAGTCAGAAGCTAAGAGTCCCTATGACAGATGCCTTCCCTAGTGCAGAGGAATTCTTTATAAAACAGACCTTGTTAAACAACTTATCTTCCTTTGGTTTCCTCACGTATTTTTGTTACTTTTCCACAATTGCTTTTCCTTGTTCAACCTAATATAGAAGCCCTAAGGTTTGCCACTCCTTGGGGTGTCTGTTTTCTTATGGGGGCTCCTATATCTCATAAAACTTAAATAAAGGGTGTGTTTTCTTCCTGCTAATCTGTCTTATGGCAATTTAATTTTCAGGCCCAGCCAAGCACCCTGAGAAGGGGGTGAGTAAAGTCTGGCCCCTCCTACAGTGACTACAGAAAAGGAACACGGAGTCTAAGGGGATGAAAACACCTTGTCACTCTGGAGTGTGGTTTCCCTTGAACATGGCAAGAGATTAACTGAACAAAGAAGCCCACCTCACACCCTGGGTGGCTTGTGTCTTGTAACAGGAATCAGGGTTTATGAGGCAACCTCGATGCAAAGTCTTTAAAGAGCGTTTGGCTGAATAACTCCTTGCTGAACTTTCCTGGTACCGCTATGGCAAAAGGCTGAAGGGAAGGAAGATGGACAGAGCCAATAGACTTTTGTAGCAGTTGGAAGGCAGAGAGTCTAGGTGCCTAAGTTAGAGCAGTGGTGGACAGAGAAAGGGCTGAATCAGAGAGACACTTGACAGGCAGGAAGGGCAGGATTTGAGGGCCGCCCCAACGCTGGAGAAGGAGAACAGGAGAACTCACAGAGAGATGGCGAGGTCTGGGCAGATTGATGGTCCTGAGACTCACGCTGCAGACCAGAAGCAGTGGTCAGTGTGGGACATTCTGAGTTTGGGACATGCGATGGAGACACAAACAAAGATGGCAGGTGGAAATACACATATGGGGGCGGGCACAGAAGTAAGATCTTAGAGATTTAGAGGGGAAACCATTGGCATAGAGGTGGTAGTTGAAGTCTTTTCAATAGAAGCGATGAAGGAGATTATGGTAAGAAATAAGAAATTACAGAAAGAAGTAAAGAAAAAGAGTACATAGTGAATCCTGCCATCATCATCTTAGTTCTATTCCACTACCTTTCACCAAAATTTTTGTGACATTCTCCTAATGGGCTCCCTTTCCTCTAGCATGTTTCTTCTGAAACACATCAGCCTTAAAGTCAACAAATTCATATTTTTATAACATTCTCTTACTCAAAAGCCTTAAACAGCTCCCCGTTATCTGCCGATAAACCCTCCAATCCTTGGCCTTGAAGCTTTGCACATTTTTTCTTTCTACTGCTGCTTACATAAAAATTAGTTTCTGCCAAATTGGTCTTCTCAACGTTCTGTGAACTTCGCCTGCCATTATCTTTGTTTACTTTCATAAGATCAGCCTTCTTTTACCTTTTCTCTATCAAAATCCAGAGCAAACTCTACATTAAAATAACAAAAAAGTCACGGCAGTCTAAAGCTTTAACACATGCTCGACAATTTCCCAGAGCTCGCCTATAGCAACTATGACTTGGAATTTCATTAGGTTCCCTGGTTTGGCTACACTGGAAGCATAGAAGATTGGAGGATCCGTGAGAGTAGATTCCGTTTTCTTGGGGGCTCAATCCCTAGGGCTGTATTCCCAACAGGCAACATTTGCTGAACCAATAAATGCCAGAGCTTCTCACATGAAAATGACTTGGCACTTACTTACTAATTGCTTATGGAATACCCTGGCTTCATATTCATAAAGATATACATAAGAGTGAAGAAATCATGTTCTTCAAGAAGGCATGAGAAAGCAGCATGAGCCTTTTCAGAATCAAGAACAAATAAAGCTGTAAAGTAACTTCTGCAAAGACCCTCTGTAATCCACACTCTCTGTGTAAAATAGAATTGTCCCACTGCCTATGCTGATGTGAAAGAAGATGTTAAAGACTGTGACCTCATCTGGAAATACGGCCATTGCAGATGTGTTAAGATGTGGTCACCCTGGAGCAGGGTGGGCCCCTTATCCAATCCCATTGTGTCATATCAATGCCCTCATCAATCCTGTCCTGTCTAAACCATTTGCATGTTGAAAATAATTTCTTCTGAATAGTTCAAGGGTGACTTTACATTTTCTCACGAATAAAAGATTTGGGGCAATATTAGAAATAGAAAATGTTAGCTGACTGAAGGTCCCCATCAGGGCACAGCTATCTTGTAAGCTGAGAACTCACATGTTGTCCTGAACGTTTCTCGCCTTTTCCTGTCTTCTGAACTCCTCCCTGGCCTCTTTCACCCCGTTGACCGGCTCAGCCACCCGCAGAGTTGGCTCCAAAGGTCTGTAGCGCTGTTCTAGCACTTCGGTGATGTCACGGAAGGGACCCTGGCAAGACAGGGTAAGGTGACTGTTTTGTTATGGAGGGTTCCTTTACCATGTTATTGATGACCCAGGCTATGGAATATTTACACAGTATAGCAAGTTTACTGAATTGTTTTTTAAGGAACCGTTTGTTCTCTGAGTTAGAAAATACATGATATAAGAATATCACATCTTCAAGAAATGTTTGCACAAGTACAAGCAATTATATTGAAAATGTTTCAGATTAAGCAGAATTTCCTCACATCAAAGGAGTTTTTATGCTAGAACTGGCCAACTGGTAATTATGGGTCGTTCTACTTTCAAATTTTAAAAAGCATATTTCTTCTAATATATTTTTAAAAGAATTCTCCCCCTTTTAAAGTAAAACTATTAGAAACAATTCTGAGCATAGCTTTCAAAGAGTATTTCTATAAACAGAAAAAGGATAGCAAGTACTTTTTCATTAAAATAAACCTTTTAGGTGAATGCTGAATTTTACATTGTTGGTCTCCAAAAACACAGAAGGGCTGTATTACTAATTATGTTCTTTATTTAAAATTCTGAATTGTACTGCTTAATAACTTTGATAAAATAGCAACCATTTAATCACCCCAAAATATAGAAAAATTCAGAAGCTACAACTGTGAAAAGTGATTTACAACATAGTCTACCTTTAAATTAGTAGTTACTTATACTAGTTACTAGAATCCACTGGTTATCTAATTAATCAGCATCAAATAAAGCACAGTAAAAATTAGAGGTGGCTAAAGATGTTGCTGTGCCATTAATGACACACTGTTTTCTTTTTTCACCACTACAGTGCAGGAGAGAAGTGACATACAATGAACAAAGATTTCTAATCATATTCCTTACCCTTCTTTAGATAGGTTATCACTAACAAGACACAGCTGGAGTTACTGCCAGCCCTGAGTGAAGACTGTGGGCTAATAAAAAGAAATGATTCACGCCTCATTTATGTTCACTTATGTTTTACATTAATAGAAACCAATAATAGGAACCAGTTACCATAAAAGTCATGGACCGTAAATAACACAAATGGCAAATAAGTATCATCTAGTACTTTTCACAGCTGGACAGGAGGATTGCTATATTTGAAAGGAGTTAATGAATTTTTATTAGAACTTTACTTTTTAAAGATACAGTAACATGACTCCAAGTTCACTATTAAGATGTATATGTGTGTGTGTCTATATACACATTCTCATTTGATATATATCTCTCAATATTTTATTATATATTTTATTACATATAACAACATATACTCACATATATTGTATGTAAATGTATATATACATACTATACAAATGTGTATATATATTCTATACCATAATATATATACCATTGTAATAAAATAACCAATATATGTGGTCTCTGCCCTGGTTCCCAACTCAGAAACATTTATATACCCACATCTTATTAATATCATAGAATTTTCATATGTCCTAAGGAGTTGCATGCAGAATACTTTATGAATTCCATGTAGTAGCAATACCTACCCCAGTGAATATAGCATAAAACATGGATTATTAAATATTAAAATATACTATGTTATATCTGACACCTTAGCAACCATTGATCATTTAATGCACATGCAGTGGACATGCTAGAATGATTTTCTTTGGAGAATAACTAATAAATGAATTGTTCATTCAATGGTATTATATACATCCACTACTTGCATTAATAAGAAATATGCATAATTCAAATGGTAAAAATTATCAGCCATCAAATTCATTTTATATTTGTGTATAAATATATTTTAGTGCCTTTGTTAGATACTTCATATTTGAAAAGAATAAGAGAACCATACCCTGAGGATACATCCCAAAATAAGTGAAGTATTTCCCATGATGTCTCGTTGCCCTCTTGCTCAAGGCCACACTGCTTGCCACTGCACTTCAGAAATTAGAATTTTTAGCTTCTATAGATTTTTTAGATAACTAGATTACTGTAAAGGTAATTAAGAATATTGACATATAGACTTCTGGCCAAGATGGAGGCATAGGTGGAAACACTGTGCCTCCTTGCACAACCAAGTTTAAAGACAACAAAGTTTTTAGTAAAAAAAAAAAAATGCAACCAAAACACAGAAAATTGAACTACACGGAAGGCCAACAACAACAAACCATTCGGCCAGACCTGTAAGAGGGGCGGAGCCAGGGACTGGTGGAGTGGGATTGCACAGGAAAACTCGGCCAAACTGACCCAGGTGTGGGGGCGGTGGATCCCAGGTGTGGGGTTGCAACAGGCAGACCCAGTGAGGGTGCAAGGCAGCAGGCTGACCTCGGTCACACATTTGTGTGCAGATAAACCAGCGAAGGAGCGAGCAGTGAGACAGACCAAGCAGGTCCCAGCAGCGGGAAGCAGCAGAGGGGACTACTATCACCCCTCTCTAACCCCACCCCCACATACATTGTCACAACCCAGCGACTAGGTCGCCCGCCCTAGTAAACACCTAGGGCTCCGCCCCTCATACATAACAGGTGTGAACAGACCAAAACATTATGGCTCAAGAGTAACTCAAAGCCCCAGAACCAATAACTCTAAGCAACCAAGAAATAGCCAACCTATCAAATGCACAGTTCAAAACACTGGTGATCAGGATGCTCACAGAACTAGTTGATTTTAGTCACAAATTAGAGGAACATATGAAGGCTAAACTAATTGAAATAAAGGGAAATGCACAGGAAACCAATAGTGATGGAAAGAAAACTGGGACTCAAATCAAAGGAGTGGACCACAAGGAATAAAAAAAATGACCAACCAGAAAAGGATAAAGAAACAAGAATTCAAAAAAATGAGGAGAGGCTTAGGAACCTCCAGGACATCTTTAAATGTTCCAACATCCGAATTATAGGGGTACCAGAAGGGGAGGAGGAAGAGCAACAAGTGGAAAACTTATTTGAACAAATAATAAAGGAGAATTTCTCTAATCTGGCAAAAGCAATAGACTTCCAGGAAATCCAGGAAGCTCAGAGAGTCCCAAAGAAGTTGGACCCAAGAAGGAACATACCACGGCACATCATCATTACATTAGCCAAGATTAAGATGAAGGAGTGAATTCTAGAAGCAGAAAGAGATAAGTGGACAGTCACCCACAAAGGAGTCCCCATCGGACTGTCAGCTGATTTCTCAAAAGAGACCTTACAGGCAAGAAGGGGCTGGAAAGAGGTATTCCAAGTCATGAAATCCAAAGACCTACATCCAAGATTGCTCTATCCAGCAAAGCTTTCATTTAGAATGGAAGGGCAGATAAAGTGCTTCTCAGATAGGATCAAATTCAAGGAGTTCATCATCACCAAGCCCTTATTATATGAAATGTTAAAGGGACTTATCTAAGAAAAAGAAGATAAAAAAGATGAACAGTGAAAGGACAGCAAACTCACAGTTATTAACAACCATACCTAAAACAAAAGCAAACTAAGAGGACAGCTAGATCAGGAGCAGAACCATAGAAATGAAGATCACATGGAGGGTTAGTAACAGGGGAGTGGGAGGAGGAGAAGGGGGAGAAGGTACAGAGAATAAGTAGCATAGACGGTAGGTAGCAAATAGGGGGAGGGCAAGAATAGTATGGAAAATATAGATTCTAAAAAACTTGAGACACATGGACATAAACTAAAGGGGGGAGAATGGTGGGGGAGGGGTTGTGCAGGGTGGAGGGGAATGAAGGGGGGAAATAGGACAACTGTAATGGCATAATCAAGAAAATATACTTACTTCCGCCAAGATGGAGGCATAGGTGGATGTGCCGTGCCTTCTCACACAACCAAGATTAGAGAAAACTAAATATTAGCAACAGAAAACACAGCCAGAACATGGAAAATGGAACTTTTCGGAAGTCCGTTAACAACAAATTCTTCAGCCTGACCAGTAAGAGGCGAAACCAGCGGCTGGCGGAGCGGGGTTGCACAGGAGGACTCGGCCAGACACACTCAGGCCCGCGGAATCCAGGCGCAGGGTCAGACCTAGTGAGCGACCCAGAGAGCGACCAGGTGAGCGACCGCGGGGGAGACAGCCGGGCCAGGGCTGCGTGTTGACTGAGGTCTCGCATTTGTGCGAGGGTGGACAGGCGAGGGAGTGGGCGGTTGGACCGGGCCGGCAGGTCCTCACGGCAAGCGGCAGTGGAGGGCGCCGCCATTTCCCTGCTCTGACCCCACCTCCACATACAGCGTCATAACCCAGCGACTCTGAGTGGCCCGGCCCAGGGAACCACCTAAGGCACTGCTCCTCCGCACCCAGCTGTGAGAAGCGGCAGAGGGGATCGCCATTTCCCCGCTCTGGCCACGCCCCCACATACAGCGTCACAACCCAGCTACCTGGGAATCCAAGGCGCCACTTCTCACACTTAAAGGGCCCGAACAGACCAAGAATGGCGCAGGAGGATCTCAGAGCCCCAGAGCCAATAGATCTAAGCGATGAAGAAATAGCAAAACTCACAGACGCACAGTTTAAAACATTGGTGATCAGGATCCTCACAGAACTGGTTGATTATACCGACAAATTAGACAAATATATGAAGGCGAAACTAATTGAAATGAATGGAATTGCACAGGACACCAATAGCAATGAAAAGGAAACTGGGTCTCAAATCAATGGAGTGGACCAGAAGAAAGCAAATAATGGCCAAACAGAAAAGAGTCAAGAAGCAAGAATTCAAAGAAATGAGGAGAGTCTTAGGAACCTCCAGGACATCTTTAAACGCTCCAACATCCGAATTATAGGGGTACCAGAAGGGGGAAAGGCACAGCCACCAGTAGAAAACTTATTTGAACAAATCATAAAGGAGAATTTCCCCAATCTGGCAAAGGAAATAGACTTCCAGGAAATCCAGGAAGCTCAGAGAGTACCAAAGAAGTTGGACCCAAGAAGGAACACACCAAGGCACATCGTAATTACATTAGCCAAGATTAAAATGAAGGAGAGAATCCTAGAAGCAGCAAGAGCTAAGGGGACAGTCACCTACAAAGGAGTCCCCATCAGACTGTCAGCAGATTTCTCAAAAGAGACCTTACAGGCAAGAAGGGGCTGGAAAGAGGTATTCCAAGTCATGAAATCTAAAGACCTACAACCAAGATTGCTCTATCCAGCAAAACTTTCATTTAAAATGGAAGGACAGATAAAGTGCTTCTCAGATAAGATCAAATTCACGGAGTTCATCATCACCAAGCCCTTATTATATGAAATGTTAAAGGGACTTATATAAGAAAAAGAAGTTAAAGAAACATGAACAGTGAAAGGACAGCAAACTCACAGTTATTAACAACCACACCTAAAACGAAAGCAAACTAAAAGGACAGCTAGATCAGGAGTGGAAACATAGAAATGAAGATCTCAAGGAGGGTTAGCATCAGGGGAGTGGGAGGAGGAGAAGGGGGGGAGTAAGGTACAGAAAATAAGTAGCATAGACAGTAGATAGAAAATAGATGGGGGGGCAAGAATAGCATGGGAAATATAGAATCTAAAGGACTTGAGACACATGGTCATAAACTAAAGGGGGGGTAATGGTGGGGATGAGGGGTAGGGTGGAGGGGAATAAAGGGGGAATAGAACAACTGTAACAGCATAATCAATAAAAAAAAGAAAAAAGAAAATATACTTAATAAAAGAATATTGATATAAATAGGTTTTCTTATCAAATGAAGCAGGGATGAGGGAAAAGGGAAGTGGTCCAGGGGGAAAATCAACTTTATAGATTTTCACTTATTTTTTACAGCTCTTGCTATAATATAGTATAAATTGTCACTTAATAGTATTAACTATCTGTTAGTTTTTAGAGACCAAAAATACACAAGTAAAGGGAATTAAGGATCCAGTTATAAAGAATGGAAACACAAAACATCACAAATAATTACATACAGCAGTGATTTTTTTTTTAATGGCACAGAAGGCAGGCTGTCTGATTGCACATCTGATGAAATGGCTGGGCCATGAACGGGACCTCACTCCTGTGCATCCGCACCCTTGCATGGGCTGGACCTAACCACTCTAACAAAGACAATATGGGAGAGGAAACGGGGTGTCACTCGTGGTGTTAGGTCATAAAAAGGCTGTGGCTTCTGTTCTGACAGCTCTCAGCTCTGCAGAGAGGACCACAGAAAGAGGGGCTAAGACAGGAACCACCAACCATAGTAGTGACCCAGGATGGGGACCTCCCCACCCTCCTCTTTCATGTGACATCACAGCCCTGTCCTGTTGACTGAGACTCCCCAGGAGACCCTGAGTCAGAGGGCTTCACCCACACTGTCCCTACCATGCTGACCCACAGAACTTATGAGGTAGGAAATGTGTGTTGTCTTATGCCACCAGGTTTGGCAGGAGTTAATTATACAGAAAGAGGCAAACACAAGCAAGCTGGTGCAGAGGACTCATAGGTAGGAGCTCTGCGAGCTTTGGTGGTGTGAACCAAATAAACCACGATCAGGGCTGGCGCTACCAGGTGGCACTTGTCCACTCCAGTCTAAATGTTGGTGGGCATGACAGAACTATTGCTGTCTGGGACTTTCAGGACTGTATGATTGTCACCCAACACATCTCACTCCGCACCATAACTCCGGGAAGTCTTCTTGCCGATCCTGCCGTGCTCTGACCCACACTGAGGACCGCAAGTCTGTGTCCACAAGAGTCTTGCGTTGCTTCGGGCCCTCCCTGATTCTCCCACTTGTATTTTTCAATCATGTTTACAATTGTATGAAAAGATATGGATCATCAGATGACAAGTTAAAGTAAATGTATTTTATAATACATAAGATCTTTCTAGTACTGTTAATATAACAAGTACTGTTATAACAATATTTTTACATAAAAAGGGCTAGATCCTGGTCCAAGATCTTATGCATTAACGTCATATTCAAAACACTAAAATTCGGTACCAAAGAAATAATTCAATCACTTCCTTGGTCTATATTTTAATCATACTTTATACTTATTACTTCAAGTTAGATTTTACAAAAATATAATTTTCTTTTTTGGCCACAAAGACAAAATAACAAAAACTTTAAAACCCAGCGAGGACACAGTCACGGAAAGGATTCTTACGGAGGGCGAAGGCGTACCTGGCACTGCTTCCTATTAATGGGTGGCAGGATTTCGGAGCAAGGGAAGGACCGCGCGCTGGTACATGCCAGCCAGCTGGTCAGACTGGTGGGGCGCTGCAGCTGCCCTCTCAGTTTCTTTCGCGTCCAAGGCTTTGCCTGCCGAAGCCGCAGCTCCCAGGGGTCAGGTTCCTTCCTGAATGGTGAATTGTACACACCTGGAATCTGCAAAAACAGAACCTTGATTTGCATCTTCCATTTTCACCTGCAGTGAAAGGAAGACCAAGCTGTGCCATACAATTTCACAATGTTCAAGGACTACTTTAAACTACACCTCGAGCTCTGCACTGGAGGTGTATTTCAGATTCATCAGAAAAGATTAAAAAATGCACATGCTTTGTCTCCATTCCAGACCAGCTGTTTCAGAGTCATTCATGGTTGGGGACAAAACACGGGAAAAGCTACTGAACTACAGATTCTGTCTGACACACAGGGTGTATTTTATACAATTGTAATTATGAAAAGAAGAACAGAAGGATGTGGCATCACTTACTCTGTATTCTAACCATTAACTATGGGTGTGTGTCATCACTCCCACAGACGGAGATTCACTGTGCTTGAACCGGTTTCAGGTACAAGTATGTAGTCAATAAACGTCTGATTTTGGAATGATGGTTCACTACATAACATTACATAATGGTAGTTACTTTAAGTTCTTTACTTTGAGATAATAATCAAAGTGGATATATAGATATGTGTGTGTATATATTCAAAATTCGGAACTCATGCAGTTCAGCGCTGTACTTCTATGGTGTCACATTACCCTCGCTGTTTATCATTGACCTTGTCACACTGCATCAAAACAGTCAAGACTTAGCACAGCCCCTGCTATGCAATAGAGGTTCATTAGATGCATGAATAACAAATAAATTCAAGTGGAGCAGATGTCCATTTTCTGAAAAGCCAATGGCATTAGAGTATAGCAGTGCATTTTGATATTGTTTTCATATACACAAGTTCATATTCATAAGGAAAAGTTACATTTCAGAGGGTAGGATGACTTGTTTGGTTGCTTTGTAGACACTCTAATGTAAACAACATACCCACTGAACCTATCTGTTTTTCCTAAAAGTGTGCTTTTCTCTTATGTCACCCTCATATCCATAAATATTTCTGCTTGCTATATTTCTCTCATGGAATCAGTAGTTTCAAAATGTTAAGATTAATCCAGATAGTCGTCTTTGAAAACCTATGCTAGAAAATTTTCTATTTCCAGCCTAACTCTTAAGTAAGTGCCGACCTCTACCCAATACCACCAGCACAGACAGGAGTCAGTGTCCTGTCCTTTGGTTATTTTTGTGTGTGTCCACCTCCCCCCAGCAAACAGCAGGAGCAATGGGACTCTGGGTTAGGTGGGTTTGCATCCCCAGCACATAGAAGACACTAAAAACGATGCTAAATGCTTATCTAGATTAACAGTGCAACATTCAGAAAGGCTCGTGGAGCCTGTATTTCACTACTGTTTTCCAAAGCCACGTAAATATTCTTAGCAAAATGTTTGAGGTTTGTTTCCAAATCCTACTGACTTCTTTCAAACAAGTTACAAATGATACCCTTTTTATTGTTCTTAACACATCAGCTTTAATTGACTTTCGAGCACATTGTGATGTAGAACTAACTAATCACAGACACCTTTGAGTCACCTCCAACTCAACTTTTCCTATGGTGTAAAGTCACGTCACATTCTCTCACTGAAATACTGAATATAGGCCAAGGTGGATACATCAACAGATAGTTAAAGGATCTTAACGAAATAAAATACACACACACGTCTATATACATACATATGTATATAAGTGTGTGCATGTATACATACACACATATGTGTATATGTATTCTGGATACACACATATATGTGTATATACACATGCATATGTGGATATATACATGTGCATGTGCATACATATATGTATGTGTGTGTTTATAAAAGTTAAAGGATATCAACTAAAGAAAAATATATACACACATATTTATCCAAAATAGCTTTCAGTAGACAGTAACTTTGAAAGGGATGGCAATTTTCAAGATGATCTTTAGGGTGATTTCCTATGACGAGAACGTTTCCATTGTAATGAGGAAAAACAACACCTGTGTTACACTGAGAGACTATTCTGACACTACATATGAACCTATGTAAGTCCATGATGGAGATTTAAAAACATGCCATTGTGTTGAGTGACAATCTAATGAAAAGAAGTCTGTTGGGGTATCACGTCCACAATCATGCAGATTAAAACAGTAAGGTACACGGAGTTTAACTAAATTACAACACGTGCTTTAAAATACCTGTCCACCTGAGTCACTGCCACGGCACTCCCCACTCCCCCCCTCGGAAGCCGCCGTTGGTCCCCACCCGCATCTGTACACAGGCTAGATGGGAAATGCAAATGCAGGCACTCGCACGATAGCTTCCTTAAATTATATTTCGCAGCCTATACGGAGACCTCCTCATGTGGATTCTCTTTGCAATTTAAATCAAATATAGACAGAAAATATATTTTAATTGAATTCAAAGTGTACCACTTAAAATCTTCAAGGTGTCAATATTTCAGATATTAATTGAATGCATTTGCTAGCAACGTCACGGAACACAGTCCAGTCCTCCCGCTATCCCTATTTATTTAGAATTGGGCAAGCACATACCCCATTTATTGAGCTTGCGACAGTGTGCCCTTAATTCTTATTATGTAAGTAAATAAAACAACCTCAACTTACTGTCGTCTCAGTCGCTATATTTCATAATTGGTAAGCCACTTGTGAATAATGGCTTGTTGTTGATTTTTAAAAATATTACCACGAGTCACAAAAGACCAGGTTAATCCTAAGGGACAGTGACATATTTTGCAGTTTTCACATTTTTCACCGCATCGAAAGGCTGCCACCAAGCTAGCTTGTGGGACTTCATTCTTTGCAATAATTTTCTAGAGTGACCAACACTATGGGGAAATCTGTGCTAACTGTTTAAAAAAAAAAAGAGCCTACAACTGAGTTATTTGCAGTACTGTCATGCTGGCATTCAACTCAATAAGACCCAGGGAATCTCGGGAGAGGACTTTGCTAATAGCTTCCTGCTGACCTCCTTGCATCAGGCCTGGCTGCTGACTGGTGGCCCAGTGGTGAATACAGCAAATGAGCTGTGAAAGCACCGATTTTTTTTTAAAGGCTATGATTCTGACTCGTCAAAAGGGGGGAAAAGGCAATGAGTTATAGAATAGATATATATTTTTCCTGAATTCCCCCCTTTAGACCCTCCATCATGGGAACTTAAGCATGACCCAGAATATTAATTATGGTGGGTTGAGCAGCGTGCAAATGTGCCATTTGTCACCCAGTCACCCTTAGCGTTACATTAATATTTTGAACTATTTCGTATTTCTAACAATCTATCAAACTATTCTGTATTTCTAACAATCTATCAATGGGCCCTTTTCTTCCCAGTTTTTATTCTTGTACTTAAGTATTATATGGGAAAGTACTTTGAAAATGCAACCGATTGGAAGACAAATGGATGTACATTCTGTATTTGGAGCAGCTAATGTTTTATTTTCACCGAGAATGTTTTTATGGTCATTTTCCTTTCTTGCCTGACCTTTATTTTGTAATTGCCTCAGGGAAGCTATGTCTAATTTTTTTCCCCTTCTCTTTGTTATTGAGGTTTACTTTTCAAACAAGTTCCTGTGAAATAAAATAATCTTGAGACAGGATGGGGTACGCCTGTAATTCCCGAAGCCCATTTATTAGCGTTTCAATTTCATATTCTACCATACAAGAAATACTAATTTCTCCTGATTTTAAAGTCACCGCTTATTCTGGGAGAATTCAACTTTTACCTCTGCAAAGGGCAATTATACAGCAAACAGGAGTTGCTGGTTGCCACCAAAATGGAACAAAATGAAATTATTGTCTCGTTCCATGATTCAGAATCTGTGGTTACTGTGAGAGAGAGCAGCAGCCCTAAAAGCGGGGCTGTCTAAAGTATGTTTGGGTCCTGAGTTTTTGTTAAACAATTCTTGGAAGAAACGAGACACCCAGCAACCACAGACGCGTAGTGAGGATCTCTGATCACCACCTGGGAGAGGAAAAGTGGGCCGGGGAAGTATGAATGAGATATTTGCCGGGACAGGGACTGCTGAGTCCACACTGACCAGGGCACTTCATCATAATTATCAGGACACAGCAGTGCCGGGGGATTTATAAAAACCCCACTCAGCAAATAATTGCCCTGCTGTTAGGAGCCAGTCAGAGTGTTAACACACTGTCACAGTCCAGCGTTTAGTAAGATATTCTACATCCAATTACTCTTGCTGAGGACGAACGGCCAACGTGGCCATTTCTCAGGTGGAGCAGTCACGCTTCCACGGGCGTTTCAGACAATGGTCCTGCTAACCGTCCTCCTGGGGAGGGGTACGAATTCAGGGGAACCTCAGGGGTCCACAGGACGGCATGGGGTCTAGAACTTATCTATGAAAAGCAAGAATTAAAAAAAAAAACTATTACTGGCTACACATGCTTTTTCTCTTCTTTTACTTCAGTTACGAAATAGGATTTAAAAAAAAATGGTTGGGGTCAAATTCTAGAGGGGTTGGTCCCATTGTATGTAAATCCCAGATGTAGCTGGCTTCTTCAGGTTAGTACATGATTTTTAGAAAACATTTTGATAGTTTAACCATTACTATCATATATTAAAGTATTCCCACACAATGTTGATGAAAATGAAGGCATTTAAGTAAGATACCATTCTCTATACAGTAACTAAATTCAATACTATTGAGCATCTACTGACTTAGAAACGCTTCGCGGGTCTGCGGTGGGTGGGTGCAGGGATGAGTGAAGAGTGGTCAGCGCGTCATGGCCTTTTCAGCAGCGGGGTCGGGCAGGGTGCCATGAAGAGAATGATTCTGTGACCAACAATGACATGACCAGCCTGTAGCAAATGTCCTCTAACTATTGTCGTAGAAGAGGCAGATGCCCAAGGCTGTGGGAAGGGATGTATCCTTTAGAAAACTCCGAGGAAAGTGTCTGAATTTGCACTAAAGATAGGCAGAATTTTGGCAATAAAAAAAGGGGAAGGGGCATTGCAGGCTAAGGGAAGGGTGGGAATGAAGAGGTATGGAGGGGAAAACCCAGGGCTGCTGTTGGGCGAACACCCTCCTGATTGGGTTAAG